AGGAGGATCACTATGAGTCCCAGCTGCGTAGTGAGATCCTGTACAAAACAAAACAAAACAAAACAAAACAAAACAAAACAAAAGAGGGTATGTGGAGATAAGGGGCTCAGTAATGGGTCCCTGAGCAGAGAGTGAGCCTGTTGTGGAAGGGGCAGGGGTGGGGGGCCACGGGCAAAAGTGGTTTCAGTTCTTCATCCAATGCAATTAAATCCCCCAGGTTGGTCACGGTGCCTGGTAAACCCCTTCTGAAATTTACAGGAGCAAGCCAAGTGTAACTAAAACACTGCTGAACTAAACAAGACCTGCCTACCGATAATGGGCTGGTTATGAAGCGGTGCTAAGATGTCAAGGTGTTGGCACAGAGAAGGCTGCACGGAGCAGGGCCTGACGCCGACCACGCCTACGCAGCAGATCTACGGAGGAAGTGGGAACCGCTCAGCACGGAGTGCCAGAAAACACGGACATCGAAAGGAGATTATTGCTAGAAAAGAGGAAGGGGGAGGGGAGGGGAAGGAGGGCACAAGGGCGAGTATGGAACGGCTAGGACCCAGACATGTCATGTGGGTGCATGAGAATACTATATTTAAATCTAAAAATGTGTAAAATTAATGGGCACTAATAAAAATATATTTTTAAATGATTATCTATATGGAAAAAATCGGCCAAGTTAGAACCCTAAAAATCATTCGCAAATGAAGGACTCACTCATAAAACTTTAAATTTTTGTAGTGAAAATGCAGGCAACGTTTCCTCTTAAGATACAAAACCAGCAACCCTAAAATGCCGACACAGTTAAGAACTGCTGCTGGTTCAAGAGACTCATACAACGTATAGCTTGTATTTTCTTTAGGCTAGGAAAATGAACTGGCAACACAAAGAAACTTCACAAATCAACATGAAAGAACTGTCAAACAGAAAAATGTACAAAAGACACAATTAGATAACATAGGGAGAGAGAATTACATGTGGCTAGCCGGGAATATAGCTCAGTAGCACAGCGCCTGTCTAGCAAGTACGAGGTCTTGAGTTCGAGTCCCAGTATCAAAAAAGAAAACTCCAAAACCTCAGCCAAAATACATATGGCTAGCTAACATGTGAAGAGATGCCTGAAGTTTCAAATTGAACCACAATGGACTACCACATACAGATATTCTGAACAAGTACTTTGAATATGCAACATGACAACCATTGTTAATGTCCTATCCTCTTGTTTTGCAATTCTGTGTTGTTTTTTGTTTCTATTTTAAAAATTCTCTTCTAATAAAAAAGGCCACAGTGGAATCCCATACTTGTTCCACTGGCAAAGATCAACGATCATATGAGTGCTGTGAAGACATCCAACAGGATGTCCGAGAGTGGAAGCCGGTACCACCAACTGGCTGCACAGTTACCAGAGTTACATATTCCTACATGCTGTGAGCCAGCAGTTCTGCCCCTGGAGAAAGCCTGCACCAGGAAACGGGAGTGAGGGAGCCCTGCTCCCCTGAGCAAAACACTGCAAGAGCAAAGAACTCGGACTTGGGGTGACAGATCTGAATTGCACCGAGGTCAAGCTGGGCTGCGAGTCTGAGCTGTGTAGTAAGACCCTGTACCAAATTACAAAAAAAAAAAAAAAAAAATTGGTGCGCATGTGCAATCCAGGCAATTGGGACAGGAGGATCACTAGGAGTTTAAGGCCAGCGTGGGTACATAGCGAGACTGTGGCTCAATCAATCAATCAATCAATCAATCAATCAATCAAAGAAGCACTTAGGGCCTGCCAGATAGCTCAGCGGACTAAAGCGCCTGCTTAGACAGATGCAGGGGTGGGGGGATCGATCCCCGGCGTGCTGTGCTGGCCCCGCCCCAGAGAGCCCTGAGAAGGCAACTGAGACCAGGAGTGGTGGCGCACACCTGTAATCCCAGCACTTGGGAGGCTGAAAACAGGAGGATCACTACGAGTCCAATCTGTATAGTGAGGCCCTATAGACACTGTACTAAATACAAAAAAAAAGAAGCCCTTAAAGACAACACGCAGCTGGGGAGACAGCTCAGCAGCAGAAGCACCTGCCTGGCAAGTGCAAGATCCTGAGTTCAATCCCTGGTACAAAAAAACCCCAAACAAACCAAAAACCAAAAAGACCACACAATATGATACAAATAAAACTTTAACAAACACTAACTTTTATAAAGCAAGAGAATAAACAAAATTTAGGAGACAGCAGGGGTGGGGTGGGAGAGGGAACAGGATCAGGAGGCCAGAGAAGTTAGTTACGTGTTGCCTCCAGTGTCCTTAAAAAAGTAAAACAAAATATGGGAAGCGGGCATGGGAGTTTCATTACGACTTGAAAACGTTAAAATATAAATGGCAATATCTTGTGCACCAAGGATTATGACTTAATATGACCCTATGCAACCAAGGCTCATTAAAAAAAACAAAAACAAAACAAAAAAACCTTCACTCCTTTCAAAATCGGGCAATGGCTCCCCATGGCATTACATCCCCCAGGAGGCCTAAGCTGTGACATCTGGCTACTCTCTATAAGGAAAGACGGAGTGGAAGATGGAAGGAAAGCACAGAAAGAAACTAAAGGAACTGGCTGCAGCCCTGCGCGATCCTGGGGCCCAGCCCGCTGGACCTCAACAGCCACTCTGCAGTCAGACGCAGGCGAAGCCCTGCAAAGACATCGGACGGACACCATCATGATGTCTGTGTAGTCAGTTTTCTCCTCCCTTTGTTCTTTGGAAAAATTCTCTCACATGTCTAGTGTGGCGGCTGCCAGTTACTGAGGCTCTTCACATTTCAAAAAAGTAAAATGCTCCCTGGTTACCTTAGTCCTGGGTTGAGGTTTGAGAGCCGCCTGGGTTAGTGGTTGTTGGATATGACCACACTCTCCTGCCACTCTGGGGAGTTGCTGTGGGCAGCACCACTTTAAGCCCATTTCTTCTGCATGTGGAGACTACACACAGAGGGAGTCAGAGACGTGTGTGGGACAGGCCTCGGGGAGCTCTGCTGCATTTTGAGGCTGTCACAGCTGCGGGCAGGGACCACAGGGCACAGGACTGCAGCCTCAAGGAGAGCAGCGAACTGCAACCTCTTCCCTCCAGTGAGGTCCCTCACCTGGGACGCCCGGGGCAGGTGTGTGCGACCCTCCCCCACCTGTCCTGCACCTTGGACACTTCTGCGAGTCAGCATCTCTGCGAAGACCACAGGGGCTGCTCAAGAAATGGCAGAGTACTCCGTGGGTGTTCAAGGCATTGCAGCTGCCAATCCTCAGAAGCTGGGGGAAGGCGGCTGGGGAGTGGAGGAAAATCCTCAAGCGCAGGTCCCTGGAAGACCCTTGTCCCAACCGGTGTCTGCTCGGTGGTCACCCTGCCCATCCCAAGCTGTCAGCCAGAAGCAATGAGCACGACACATCACAGCAGGAACGGTCCTTAAAGTGGCCAGGCCAGACGAGAAAGCTGCAACCCAAGAAGCTAGGGATTAAATATCAAGCGTCCCCCAAAGCTCATGGGTGGAGGACCTGATCCTCCATCTGGAGCTAGGAGAGGCGAATGGATCTTGAGTGTGCTGACTGCAGTAATCAGTGGGCTAACTTTAATAATTTATCAATAATGGATTAATCTACTAACGAGCTCAGAGCAGAACAGGTTGTTAGGAGATAGGACCCAGCTGGAGGAGGTGATCCCTGGGGTGTCCCTGGGCTGTGCCCCTAAAGGTGGCCTCTCTGCTCCAGCTCTTTCCATCTTCCTGGCTGCCGGGAGGTGAGCAGCTATCCCCTCAGGGCCCTGGTCCCTTCTGCTTGGAGCAGACCATGGACTACAAATGTGAGCTTCAATAAACCTCTCCTAACAGGAAAGGAAAGTGAAAGTGACAGACACAGGAAATGAGACAAGGAGCTACTGCTCCTCTCTGGGCCAGCTCCAAGGGGGCAGCCATTAAGAAAATGGGACCTTGCGGTCTTTTGATTCTGACCTCCCTCTGTCCAAGACATGAGCCAAGTTCTCTGTCCTTGGGGCGCTGCAGAGCTTCCTGCTTATGAGCACCCCACCACACACAGGGGCAGGCATGTCACACAGTCCTTTCCTGCTGGGGCAGAGAATGACCTTAGGAGGTGGGTGCCACCACTGCCCCAAAGTGACGCTAGGAGGCGGCACAGCTGGCAACTGAAACACACGTGCCGTGTGTGCGTCTTACTCCCAGGCTGTACTTGCCCACACCCTTCCTTCCTTCATTAATTCAGCAAACACCAGTGAGCACCCAGCAGGCACCAGGCCTGGTTCAGGAGCTGGGCACAGTTCTGAGTGGACCTGCTGCAGCCACCTCAGAGCCTTCAAGTCAGAAAAACAGGGTGGCAGACAATGCCGGGCGAGAGGCGCGCTCTGAAGACGACTAAGTGGGGGGAAGCACACGGGGCCAGGTGCCAGGGCAAGGCCGCAGGCAGCACTCTCCGCGTACCAGCAGCTCTGCCGCACACTCTGTGCCCCAACTGCTCAGTTCAGCAAAAGCAGCGTGGATGAAACGCCAGCTCACAGGCCCGGCTATGTGCCCACAGTGCTTCATTCCTGGACACAGAGCTTAGGATTCTAGGCAAATTTCACCCGGTATAAAGCGTGCTTCTCTTGCTCTTTCCCCCCACCATTTAGGACTATAAAAGCCATTCTGAGCTTGAAAACCAGAACAGGTAGTGACCCAGAGCTGAGCCCAGGGCTGTGGCCTGCCAACTTGCGGGGAGAAGCTTGACTGGGTTAAGGACACGGGATGCACACCAGGCAGGGACCAAGGAACATGAAAGTCAAGCACAGCAGAGCCCCACGCCCTTGACAAGGGTGACGGCACATGCAGTGGCCCGTCTGCATGACTGGAGAGCGGAAGGAGGCAGAGTATTGCCCGGGACAGCAGGAACCTGGTTCTGTCACCTTCCTGGTGATGACTCTGATCTGTGTGTGACCCCCAAGCCATTGCTGGATGGCTGGATGAGGCAGGGAAAGGGAGCAGGGATGGCAGGTGTCCAACTCACCCACGATGTCCACCACATCCCGCCGGATGAGCGGCTCTCCACCCGTGAGCCGGATCTTGTCAACACCTTCTTTCACAAAAAGCCGGGCAAGGGTTAGGATCTCCTCTGTGGTCAGCAGGTCAGCCTTGGGGGTCAAGGGGACGCCCTCCTCGGGCATGCAGTACTGGCCTGCAGGAGGGAAGGTGCAAAGGGGGTGCAAAATGGGAACTGTAGGCAGGGAGGCCCAGAGTTGCCTTGGAGCCCATCAAGGGCGGGGTGGGGAGCGGCCACTATGTGGGAGTGTTGCAAACCGGCATGGGACCTTTCTCATCTCTGCACGGGCAGACCCTCCCTCCTTGGGGGCCAGGGCTGTGCGCCAAAGGTGCTAAACTAGGTGGAGGGCAGGGCCTGGCCTGGGCCAGGTGATGCCAAGATGCTGGCTTCCTCAGCTCAGGGGCAACTGGGCAAGGCCTGTGTGGACAGACCAGGGCCCCATGCTACTCCTGCTGGAATCATTCATCCTCTTCGTTCCGAGCTGTGCCTGTGCCCTCTTTGGACATGCCAGGAAATAAAGGGAAGTCTTTCTGGCCTAGAGAAAGCTGCTCTTCTCTGTACCCACCAGTGTCCTAAAAGTTGACCTCTGAGCTACAGGTTATTATCAGTTCTGCTCTCCGTTCAGGTTGAGGAGAAGAACGGAGTTAACAGGCGAGGGAGGGCCACTCCTTGCAAGCTACTTCCAGTGCGGCTTGCGCAAGGGTTGGGTCGAGACTTGCTAGAGTACAAAGTCAAATTGGCATAGTGGGTTCAGAATTGGACTCTTGAGACAAAATACATAGGATCAAAATGTGCAGTAGGTAGTATTTTGTTGGATTAAATATTTGCCAAATGCAAATTTACTTACTGGCCCATGAAGTACACTTACTATAAACTGCAGTAGCAGGGAGGGAGGGAATGAAGGAGAAAAAGGAGGGAAGGGGGAAAGAAAAAGAGGGAGACCCAACTGTGGAAGCCCACCTGGCAGTGCAGGCACCCCAAAGTGTTCTCTGCACAGGGTAATGTGGCATGAATTCTCTGTCCTAGGACTGTGGCCTGCAGTGACTGTCGTGGGCGTGTCTGTGTGGATCACATGTTTGTAATGTCCACTTCCCCTGAAGGGAAGCAGGAGCCCAGAAGAGGGAGAGATCTCGGATGCCATCTTATTCCTAAACCCAATGGCAATTCTGCTCTCAAATCCCATCTCAAGTAGGTCTGAGGGTTCACAACCCTGAAACCCAACCTTAATTCCTACCATCCTTCCTGGCTAGGTGGGGGAGGGTGGGAAAGTTGGAGGTGGAATAAGAAGACAGAGCAGCTTTCTGGGCATGAGCTTGTAGAACAAACATGAGTCAGCGGAAGGACCAGTTGGGAGCCAGCCTAGCCCGGCAGGGCCACTCACATCTGAGGTTGCACTTCTCGGTGACCGAAATCCGAAGGTAGCTGTGGTGCCGGCCAAAACTGTCCGTGAGGAAGGCAGAGAAGGGGGCTGTGTGCTCTCGCAGGAACTGCCGCCGCCTGGACAGCTCCTGCAAGGACAGGGACAGGAGAGCTGGGAGGACGGTCCAGAGAAGAGGGGCCGGAGTCAGGCAGCTCCTTGCCTGGCTCTGGAATTTGGTTAATGCTTCTCACCTTCCAGTCAATCTGGGCTCTGCAATCATCCCTCCAGCCCCACAGGCAGGCTGGGAGACAGGCCCACCTCCTAGGACTTAGCCAAGGGTGGGGACCTCAGGCTTGGCAGGGCAGTGGAGGGACAGGCCCATGGGGATTTGCTTCAGTTTTACTCTGTGCCCCACCCTGTACAAGCAGGAAGGATCAGGCACCTATTGTGTAGGGCTTGAGGGGAGGAGACATGGCCACAGGCTTTGGAAGTCCCTAGAAGTGGGGTTCCTGGCACGTTTCCATAAGCAGCTACATGCAAGGCAGTCCTTGGTCAATTGCCCGAACTCCAGGCCTTTGCTTGCCAAGATGTCCTCCTCACCCCAATTTAGCATATGGGAGTGGGAGTGATGGGGTAAGAGGAACAAAATAAATTCAGGAATTGCAAAAGTGTGAGAACAACAAGATAACTCAGCAGAAACCCAGAAAGAACCCTGACTGAGGAGCAGCCTACAATTAGCCACTGGCTCTGGACATCCAGTTCTGGACGCCGCAGCCCCATCCAACATGCACTCGCCTTGTACTCATCACTTGGGTATTAACAAGCCTCAGGCCTCCCTCTGATGCCGTACATCCTACTTTGGTTCTGTCTGTGTGCCATTCCCTTCAATCTCCTGGAGAAAAAACTATACCAGTCAAAGGAACCCAGAATTCAGGGCAAAGTAAGAACAGAGAGCCACCCGGCTCATTCAGGATGGGCTGGAACCTAGGGAAGGTAGCAGAAAGTTCCCAGGGCTCCAGCCTGGACTAGGTGGTATTTCCTGTGAGAAGCCGTCCTGCCTCAGTATCCCCAGCATGAAGCACAGTATGATAGTCCCGAGTGTTGAACCACTGTGTCTAAACCCAAGCAGAGCTGCCTGCCTTTGATCTAACGAAGACGCAAGAGTGACGTTGTCTTTCCTGTTCAGGTTGTCAAAATGATTTAGTCTAGGGCTGGGGAGACAGCTTCGCAGTCCTGCCTGGCAAGTGTAAAGACCTGGGTTCAATCCCTGGTTCCGCATGCCATACTGGCTTCAGCACCCCAGAAGCACAGTGCCGGCTACCAAAACCAGGTGTGGTGGCACACGCCTGTAATCCCAGTGCTGGGGAGGATGAGACAGGAGGATCTCTATGAGTCTGAGCTGCATAGCATGACCCTATAACAAATACATAAAGATTTTTTTTTTTAAAAAATTAAGAACAGTTTAGTCTAGGAGTAGTTCTCAAGCCTGGTGGCACCTGAAGCACTTCTAGGAAGAGTTCATAATGAACCTCACCCCAAAGACTGACTCAGGCATGTGCCTCGGCTCCCACTCTGCAGCGAGGGCTGAGCAGCGCTGGCCCGGGGGATGCCAGTAGTGGGTGCCACTTTGCTCCAGTCGTAGAAGATGGGTTCTGAGGACAGGCTTTGGAGCAGCCAGAGCTGCAGCATGCACCTCCATCTCAACCTTCCTTTCCTCCTCTGTACAGATAAGAATCTTAACTCAACTGGAGTGCCTGCCACAAGCAGGTATCGGTAAGCCAACACTGTTGTTTCTCTGTCAGAACTCCTACTTATGTGTGTTCATTCCTTAAAAAAAATATTCATAAAGGTGGCCTGCTGTGACTGCTTTTCCTACTTTGTGTTAATTTCGCAGCTCCACTAGATCCTGCCTTCAAACCCTACTGATGGCAGGTGGCCCACGGCTGGGCATTTCAGACCTGCAGCTGCACTACCAGAAGCAGGGTAAGCAGAGTCTGAGCTTCCCAAGACACAGCTACTAGTGCTACAGAACCTGGCACTGGGCAGCCTGCCACGTGCTTTGGGTTCCTTCTCATCCAGCTGTGCCCACTGCGGGAGAGGGGTGGGGAAGGATAGCATGAGGAGCTACTTAAGGGAGGTCACTGCCTTCCAAAGACTGGAACAGTAAAGGATAGACCCTAAAGCACTCTCGAGTCTAGACAGTAGCAGGAGAAAAATAAGCCATTCCACTCTCAGCTGTCTCTGCTCCCTACTTACCTGCTATCCGGATAATATACAGCAGGCAGTCCTTACAATGGATCTTGATTAAGTGAGGATACAGCCCAGTGCCCAGCCCCAGGCCTGGTTCTCCTGCCCTCTCTGCCATGCCCACCTCAAGTGTGGGGCCCTCAGTCCTACGTCTGCTGGCAAGCACAGTCCACTTCCCTGAGACATGAGTATGGAGGAGCCAGGCAGATTAGAAACAGAGGATCCCCCCAGAGAGCCCCACTTCCATGCAGGTCCCCCTGCTATCCTCCTTCCAGCCTCTGCCTGTACCCACTTCCCCTGGTTCCCTTGCCAGCATTTGATCCTTCGGGGCATCCTCAATAGGCAGGTGACTGCCCTGTCCACGGCAACCTTCACCCCGTCTGTGTCACAGAGGGCAGGCCCAGGACCTCAGGCCAGCCCCTTGCTGCCCAAGAGAGCTCGCGTGCACCTTCAGTGGGAGAAAGAGGGTACACCTGAGTCCTCCATGTGTAGGCCACTGCAGTCAGGACACCAGGTCCCCTGTGCAACTTGTAAGCTACTCAACGCACCAGCTCCCACTTACACGTCACTTCTTTCACACCTGACACCTGAGTTGAGTTGCTTTCCACTGTGGCTCTGAGGCCCTGTGGGGCACAGGGTCAGCTGCCCTGAAGGAAGGGAAGGCAGGACAGGATTCCGAATAGCCCATCCCTGCTTCTGCCAACTGGCAAGCTCTGTGCATGGGCTGAACGTACGCGTCTCATCTTGCCTCTGAGATCCTCTTAAGGATGAATCCCCTTGCCTTTCCGCACTGTGTAAATTAAGATGGGATGGTCCAGTGCTCCAATTTATAGACAGGAAGTAGCAACCTGGGCGCAAGATCAACTGGGGATGGGTGGTGGGTGAGAATGGACTCCCTGTCCAGAGCTCAAGGTATAATTCCACGACTCTTCACCAGCTGCATTTGAAGGAGTCCAAGGCATTTGCTGACCCCACTGCCTTCACAGCTACATACGTTAAGGCCCCAGAGAGGCATGGAGCAGGCAGGAGCAACCCCATGCCCAGGCTCCTGCAGCACGCAGGCTGGATTCAACTCCAGCAGTCTGCTCCAGGGACTGTGCTGCTCCTACTACCTCAGACTTGGAAGGGGAAGGGCAGGCGCCAGTCCTCCCTCCAGGACCCTCCCAGACAGGCAGGCTGAGCCCCTCAATGTCAGGAACTGAGCTCCTTCTCCCTTGCTTCTGAGTTACTCTACCTTTGATGTGCCACCTCCCTCACTGTACTTATGGTGAGGACCACCGAACACAACATAGCAAGACCCCCCAGGATAAGCCTTTTCTTAAAAGAAAATTAAAATTTTCTAAAATTAAAATTAAAATATTCTTAAGAGAAAATTGCAGCACATTAGGAATGGAGAAATTTCACTTTTTCCAAGTCTTTAAAGACCTCTCAGCTGTCTTTGCTTTAGCAGCTTTCCCCAGTGAATTCCTGAGTTCAACACCACCTGAAAATGCTTCATTTCCCAACAACTGGCCTGCCGATCCCAGGATCCCTGAGGGGCTGGGACCCAGGGGAAGTAAATCAGTCTTGGCAGAAGCCTGTCCCCTCATTGAGCAAGAGAGAAGGAGCCAGAATTGAAGCCAGAATTCCAGGATGGGAAGCTCATTCCCAGAAGACAAGAAGACAAGGAGATGGATCTAGTAAAGCTTTTTTTTTTTTTTTCCACAACCCGGGATGGAACTCAGGCCCCTGCACTTGCCAAAACAAATGAAGAGCTGCTCATACCCCAATGTTTCTATAACCACACAAGCAAAACAACACATTTCCAACTTGTTAAGGCACAAAACACTTCCAGGGGTTCTGCCTAGGATTGAGGGATCCCTCCAAACTCTGAAGAGGCAGGAATCCCTAATCCGGGAAAGATAGGGCCTTGCTCCGTTCCCCTCTAGAACGAGACTCAACTCCGCCAAGGGAACCAACCGAAGAAGACACACACAAAAAGCTGGGTCACGGAACCCTGTGACTACAAAGTGAGAACTTGGTGGCACCACGCTGATGTTTTTTTATTTTTTGGTCACTGTGAGGCAGGTGTCTCCTCGGGGCACCTGATCACAGTCAAACACCCGGGAATTAGGTGCGAAAATGTTTCAAGAGTAGGCTGGGGGTGAGGCAGGGCTGGGGAGAACTAATAGAACACGGCCCTAGACCCATCCCGGGGGGTCCCCCTTTGTGGGCGCTGCTGACGCCTGGAAGAGGGTGGCATCGCTGGGGTACGGGAGCGTCCGAAGGGAGACTGCCAGGAGTCTCTCCTGGACTAGCAGTTGAGCCAGGCGCGGATCTGGGGACACGACCCGCTATTAAGCAACCGGGGTTCCGCCCATACGCAGCCTCTGAGGCCAAACTGGTGGTGGGGCAGGCGTGGGCCACCTCCCAGGACCACGCGGACGCCAGTGCGCGGGCTCACCTCTGTGGCGGGTCGCACAGGCTCCCTGGGGCTGGGCTGCGTCACTGGCACCCCCGAGCTACAGCCCCTGGCGCTGGACCTCAGGAGCCAACAGATCCTCCGGGACATGGGCTGCACTGCCATTAGGCCGCAGGTGGGAGGTCCCGGCGGGTCCTGACCTCACAGCGCTCTAGCCCGGGACTTGCCGGGTCCTCCGGGCGGGGCGGGGCGGGGGCGGGCCACACGCAGCCAATCAGCAAGCGAGCCGCGCAGCCTTCTGGGAGATGTAGTCCCATTCTCTGCCTCTTTTGGGCAGGCAGCTTCAGTAGCTCGGAAGTGTCAATTCAGCAAAGTCAGGCTCTCTTCCGCCAGATTCCTCTGGTCTGGTATTTAGGATGTGGCGCAACCCATGCGGAGTGCTGTAAGCAGGACAGGACGAGGGCCAGGAGAAGGAGCACTCCCCGGAAGACAAGAAAATGCTAAGATAAAAAATATTTTAGTGCCTCATTTCAAAAGATTAAAATGAATGCCTCCTCCCTCCAAGTCACAGAATGTCAGAAATTTAAATGAAAATAAGGTAGACCTTACCCTTGCACAATTCAACTCCTTTGACCTTAGGCCAGGCCCCAGTTGTAGGACAGTCAGCTCCCTCGGATACACATCTACAGCTGTGCTGGACAAAGCACTAACAATCCTGGCCTCTTTGAACGACAGCACAGAAGGGCTGTGTTTCACTTTCAAAATGCTTCCTGTTTTATAGTGCATCACTTAACGTGACGATCCCGGCATGAGTGGGATTTTCACTTTGCAACTGACAAAGACGAGGCTTAGAGAAGCTCTGTGATTTTTCCCAAGGCCACCAGGCCACAGGAATCAACACAGTTTCAAATCCAGAATTTGATTCCTATAATTACAGTTCAGTTCAGCCTTTCCTTGTGAGGGCTGGGGACATGCCTTCCTCTGAAAAATTGAACCATAGTCTTTAAGATTTTTGGATAGTAATACACATTCAATGATCAACTTATTTAGGAATCATCATGCTCAAACCATTATGCTTATTGTATCCAGAACTACTGACACAGAATGCTGAAAATCAGTGAGCAGAACAGACTAACTGCCAAATCTACAGATTAGGTATATATTTGGAAGTTTGGCTAGGGTTCCTCATATTGAAGAATTAGTAGACGAGAAGAGGATTATTTGCTTGAAATGGACTTTAAAAAATGCTGTGAGACTACCAGAGAGGTTGGGATAGCTTTAGCTTTAGATTCAGCTGAGTTTCTCCTGGTACGCCTCAAACTTCAGACAATATATTGTCGAGGATGGAGCATATCTAGGTACATTGGAAACTGGTGGGAGAGGTCTGGCAAAAGTCTATGTGCAGGAGACTGAAGACCCAACTTGGGGTTGCCTGAGTTCCATGCACTGCTGTGTTCCAGTGTGTCTGTTGGGTCAGGAGAACTGGATGTGGGGGCAAGGAGGAGGCCCACCCCTCAGTTGAAGGTCTTAGGGCTGAAGAAGTTGTCTTTGTACGTGTGGACCACTTGGATAAGTCACATGGCTGTTCCATCGGGAATAATTTTTGAGGGTAAGGATGGAAGAGAGAAGGAGTGGGTAGTAGAAGAGTAGGGGTGGCATCTTCTCACAGGCCATGAGGCAGACTTCTGGGGAGAATTACAGGACGTTAGATCTTTGAAGTCTCTGTGCTGGCAGTCTTGTGTCCTCCAAAGGTACCTTCCACTCTTTGAAGCCATCCAAAGTGCTACCAGCCACGCCAGCTGCATGAAAACTATCTAGATTTCACCCATCCTTATCCAAATTGCCCGTGATAGACCCAAGTGAAGGATCACACTGTCACTTTTTACATAGCCTTGTAACTCAAGAGCTGGACCAGATCTTAGCACTCTCAGTCTGTAAAATTATATCTTATCTACATTGTTGCAAATTTACTTAGACAACTCTAGTGCTGAGAAACTTAAAGGCTTCCTGATGCTCTATTAAATGATTCCTGGTCCATAGAATCTTATTTTTATTGAGCAAACTGCTTCATCTTTTCAGTATATGGTTGTTGATTGTCATTAAGTCTGGGCATTTTGAATACTCCCAGAGATACAAGATTGCCTTTAGGGAACTGCTGCAAAGACATAACACACCGTTATTACTGGTAGTGATCTGATCCCAGCTTAGCTGGGACACTTTCCTCACCGTCCTAACCATTCCTTCCCTACCTATCTTCCATCCCTAACCTTGTAAAAAGGACTTTCAATGCACATTAGTTGTAAAGGGTGGGGGTATGGAAATACCTTCAAGAGCTCACAGCCCAGAGAAGGGCTCTGATCAGAAGAGTTCATGGATAGTTTTCTTGGGAAGGGAGTTTCTAGACACCCCTGGAGCTAAATACATGGCACTGTATGTGTACTTCTTTCTAGAGAGAGGTGGCTTTTATCTTATGTTTAAGGAGACCCTTGACCCAAGAAAGAGGGAGTGTCTCCTAGTGTAGAAATCACCCTTCTGTGATTCCCATCTACTGACCCTACTTTTACTCCCCGGAACTCTCTCTCTATATCCTGTCATTTGCAATCCTTCATGCAAGTACTCGCTTGGAGAACCACTCAGACTACTCCAAAGCTCAGGGGCATCTAAGGACATCTGAGGATGTGGCCACGCTTGTCTAGTGCAGGAAAAAGGTGAGATATAGTTGTATAATCATGACTTAGCACAGGAAACTCGCATGCATTGGTTACAGCACTATATAAGAATGTAAATATGAGATAACCTGTATAAGGACTGTACAGTAAGGTGCAGGTGGCTCTTGGTCTCTACTCTGCCCCATGCTACCTGTTTTGCTGAAATCTTGCACACGTGCATTCTGTAACCTGGGTGCCTCACCTGCAAAAATCTCCCTTGGGGGACCCTGCAGCTCTTTTCTTCACAGCAAACAGCAGCAGTTACTGACAGCCTTTGTGTACAGTATTGTGTGAGTCACTGCACTACTGTGGTTCATCTTCCAGAGATTCCAAGCACTTCTGTCTGCACGTCCCAGTGATGAGCAGTAGTTTTGCAAGGGGATGGTGCAGTGGCTCCTGCCTCCCCAGCTGTTCAAGAACCACACTGGCAAGTAGAACCTTCTGCAGGGATGAAGCCATCCCAAGTCCCCACGTGGCTACGGAGCACCCGGAATGCAGTTCCACCCAAACCGCATTTTAGTTTTAAAGTTTAATTTGTATAAAAAACCTCACATGTGGCTACAGGCTGTGGGGTGGTTTGCTACTGTCCTAGAACCTGGAGTTCTCCAAAAAGGGGTAGATTTCATTTTCCACCTTGTTTCTGGGTGGGTTTGTACCCTGTTTCCGACCTGTAAAATAGGGTGAAAATGCTGCATGACTTGAGGCTAGCTCAGAAAATAAGATGCAACTTCCCCCTCTAGTGACCTGGTTATGGGAAGATCCATTCCTTGCTCTATGGGCTCTATTTCCTAATCCTCCAAAAAGGATTTCAGGGCACCTGCCAGTTGTGTCTCTTTCCCAACAGTTGACCTCTACCACCTGCACGTGCTGTGATACCTAGTGCTCTTATCTTGGGTTTCTAGGGGGAGCTGCCCGAGAGGAGGCCTGGGCAGGAGTCAGTGAGCAGCTAGACCAAGATGTCTGAGCAGGGGCTGGAGAGATGGCTCAGTGGTCTAAAGCACCTACTTAGAACAAGCTTAGCAAGGCATCGGGGACCGCGGTTCAATCCCCCAGCACCACATGCCAGCCAGCCTCGCCCCCTGGTGGGCTGAGCTGGCCACACACA